TCAGGAGTTCTTTTGAAGAAAACTTGACATATTTCCATGAAGACTAAGGACAGAATTTTACAATAACTTACCAAGTTTTTTCTTCTTGCTCTTCAATTGGTAATATACCTAGGTGCTAAACTAAAGTCATCGGTGATTCACTGCTACTAGATACGGAAGCCCATTAGGCGAAAGCTTCTTCTATTCGTCAAGACCCATCTGTTTGCGTGCTTTTCGAACGGGAAGTTTAGTCCTAACGTGGTTTGCATTTCTCAAACTTTTGCTGTGTTCTTACGCAACAAAAGTACCATTTCTGATCTAAACAATCTATTCTGAGCTACAAGTTCGGTAGATTACTTTTTTTTGAGTTTCACCCAATTTAATAGTTAACTGCGGTTTTGCCTCAGCTTACTATTCGGTTTATTTTCAGTTTTTCACGTAAAGGCTATTTCATTTTATCTCATCCGTTTTTATACATTTTTCCCGTTTTAGTGTGGTTTTTAGTGTATTTTTAACGGTCTTAAGCTTTGATACTATCTCTAGCACAGTTTACGTAAATACAGCCATGAAAAATTCATGTAAAAGACCTGGATGCCGTTTCGCTGTTACATCTGGCATGCAGTGTGACAACTGCAAAGGTTGGTTTCACGAAACGTGCACAGATCTTACGGCAACGGCTTGCAAAAGACTCAGCAAATCGGACCGTAAGTGGGTGTGCGTTACGTGCAACACGGACGCTGTAGTGCTGCTGAGCAATATCATTGTTCTACTGACAGGTCTGCGGAATAAATTGTCAGTAAACTTGGAAACAGATAGCCATAAAATAGGTAGGCAAACGAGGGCGCGTAACGAAAATAAGAACAGGGATGTTGACAAGTCAACCATCGATGGAACGCGCATTAGCACTAATGATGACATGTTGAAACTCAGCACCATCATTACGTCGACAATAATTGATTCCCTCACTAAAATTGGATCTCCCAGTTCAGGGTCCTCAAACGCAACGGTGGTTCCTAAAAACTCTGCAGGCGACTGTAACCACGCCAACAGAGCTAATAAGGACCAGGTGTCACCGTCCAAGGTTGACATCCCAAGTGTTGTACGGACATCAACTGGTGCTTTGATCGCTCAGTCTACCCCCAAAAATGTCCGCCCGGTTATTAAAAAGCCTACGATTCAAAAACCTGCTTCGACCTCCAAACAACAACGTACTGAATCTGAACGCACTGGAAGAGCTGGGAAAACAACAACGGTCCGTGATGACTCCCTCATAATCATGAACCTCATAGACAACCCTGACCTTCCTCTCAGTTTGCAGGACAAAAATGACAGGATGCTTTGGGGTGAACTGAACAAAAAGCTCGAACTCCCTAGAATAGAGCCTTTGACGGTCACACGGCTCACTCGGGGAAAGGATTCTAAACATCAAAATCACCCGAGACTACTCCGTGTAACACTCAAGAATGCTACCGAAGTAGAGGATGTCCTGCTAGCCAGTCATCTACTGAAATCCGATGGGAACGTCAGAATATTGCCTGACATACCATATTCTGAGCGCAATCTCATCCGAAACGTCCCTAAAGATTCTCGAGAGAAGTTTTTCCGCGGAAGAAATATCATCGTGCAAGGTGTACCGGAAAACATGGACCCTACTCAAGCAAACTCTGACATTCGGGAATGGAAATTCATCAAACAATCCTTGAGGCTTAAAAACATACTGTCTCAGCATGTGATGAGACTAGCCAAGAAGGATGGGGATCCTAGACCCCGACTATTGAGGATAACTTTTCCATCCTCCCATATGGCGGCTGCAACTCTGGAAGCATTTCGTGTCAACAGACGTCGGTTGCCAACTGGGATCCATATGCACCCGGATAGGCCATACGACGCCAGGATCAAGCACAAAGGCAAGCTGGAACTGACCATTCCACTTGTGGACTGTCTTCAAGACAAAAAAAACGTGTGAAGGACAGGGCCTACCAATTTGACAAAACTTATGTAGGTGGGTTACCTGTCCACTCACGCAAGGCTCTCACAGATAAACAGGAAGAAGCTCACGCGTTTCAAATTGAAAGCATTAACTGCTTATACATGAACGCTGCGAGTCTACCAAATAAAATGGATGAACTAAGTGAACTTAGCAACGCTAATAAGGTTCATCTGATAGGAATATCTGAAACTTGGATATCTCCTCAGTATTCGGACCAGGAGCTAGCAATACCTGGGATGTCTCTGTTTCGCAATGACAGAAAAACAGGAATTGGGGGTGGAGTAGCCCTATACATAAGATCTGGCCTGGTGGTACATCAAATCCACAACCACGAGTTTGACAATCTTGAGGAATCCCTATGGTGCTCTATGAGATTGTCCACTACTTCGAGGTGCTTAGTCGGAGTCATATATAGGAAGCCCACTGCCGACATCGAGTATGACAGTCGCATGCTGGAGGGACTATCCCGCTCTACGCGTCTCGGCTTCACTCATATCCTGATTCTAGGGGACTTCAATCTTCCTAGAGTCAACTTCGCGGAACATACGTATACTGGAGGTGAAAATTCAATAGAAGCTCGGTTCTTCAACCTCATTGAGGACTTGGGACTACACGAAAATGTGAAGTCGCACACTCGTTGGAGAAACGGTCAGACACCGTCGCGCTTAGACTGTGTTTTTACAAATGAAGAATTTCTAGTCGACAACCTCTCAATTCTGGCTCCCCTGGGGAAGAGCGATCACGCCGTTATAGCCTTCAGTTTCGTCAGCAAAACAGAGCTAAGATATCCCGACAACAACAGGCGCTGGAACTTCAAACGGTTGAATACGTCAGCTCTACAGGATTATCTACAACAGGTGGATTGGGATGTTCAACCTCAACTTGATGTGGATGCTCATTGGGACTCCTTACTGCACACGCTCTCATGTGCTACTAAGCAGTCAGTTCCTCAAACGGTCCCCAAAAGGCACAAGCAACCTACAATCATCAAAAAACGCACTCTTCGTTTGCTAAGCCGTAAAAGGCACTGTTGGGCAGAATACAAACGAACCAACAACAACGGCGAGTACAGGCAATACAAACACATAAGGAACATATGTACGAAGGCTATAAGAGAAGACAGGCTTCAGTACCAGTTAAAGCTTATGGATAAATTTATTTCCAATCCGAAAAGCTTATTCCGTTATGCAGCCTCTCTTCGTCAAGCCAAAACTGGAGTTTCTCAACTGCTAGGTCCTAACGGCCCGACAGATAATGACGGTGACGCCGCTAACCTTCTGGCTGAGCACTACTCCCGGACATTTCAGCCGACCCACATCAACTATACTGATGTCGACTCTGTCTGCAACTGCACAGGACTTTCCGTAGTGAAACTGAGTGCTGACTTGGTGTACCGTAAACTACAACACCTAAGAACAGACACTTCTCCTGGTCCAGATATGGTCCACTCTGCTATACTGAGGGAAGCAGCTTTAATCCTGGCAACACCGCTTAGCGTGATGTTCTCACACTCGCTAAGTCGGGGCAAACTACCGGATATTTGGAAGCTGGCTCATATCACACCAATCTTCAAAGGAGGTCGACGCAGTGAACCTTCAAGTTACCGACCGGTGGCCCTTCTCTCTATACCTTCAAAGATCATGGAGTCCCTGGTATACGATGATATACATGACTATCTGCTGTCCTTAAATTTCTTCTCACCCCAACAGCATGGTTTCAGGAAGGGTTATTCCTGTATGACGAACCTGCTGACCGCGGTGGACAGATGGACAAGCATCGTTGATCGCAAGGGGAAGGTAGACATTATTTACCTTGATTTCTCTAAAGCTTTTGATAGGGTTAACCACACATGTCATATTAACAAGCTCAAACAATTGGGAATCAAACCACCTTTAATTGACTGGCTCAGTTCATACCTCACAAATCGACATTTTAAGGTCAGGGTAAACTTCAATTTCTCACGCGCTATGGAATGTTCTAGTGGGGTCCCCCAGGGCTCAGTACTAGGACCTCTCCTCTTCCTGATTTATATAAATGATCTTCCTCAACAGGTAACGTCAGACATACTGCTCTTTGCCGATGACGTGAAACTTTGGAGAGAGATACGCAACCAAGAGGACATACAGGCACATCAGGAGGATCTGACTCGACTTCAAAGTTGGGCAGACAACAACGGACTTACCTTTAACACTTCAAAGTGTAAAGTAGTCCATCTGCGACACGTCGCAGATTACAGTTACAACTTAGGAAACTCCTCTCTAGTAGTATCCCGAGTCGAAAAAGATTTAGGAGTTCTAGTGCCCTACGACTTAAAGTCTTACGCCAACTGTGACAAAAATGCCTTTAGAGCAAACCTTGCACTGGTAATATTGAAGCGCATTTTTGGTCAGTTTGACGGGAGAACTTTCCACATAATCTTCAATAGTTTCATTCGTCCTCATTTAGAGTACGGGAACATAGTATTCCCTCCTACACTCCAAAAGGATAAGGACACTCTGGAGCGTATCCAACGGCGAGCCACGAAATCAGTTCGGGGACTCAAATTTAAACCTTACGATGAGCGCCTCCAATCACTCGACCTTTACCCATTAGAGTATAGGCGTCTTAGAGGTGACATTCTAATGGCTTACAGTATCCTTCACACCTGGACACCCTCTTAAACACCTACTTAAGCTTAGTCCCAACACTAACCTAAGGGGTAACACCCAAAAACTGGAGATACAACATAGTAGAACGGACTGCAGACACAATTTCTACTCCTTAAGAGTTGTCAAATGCTGGAACTCGCTGCCAGCTGAGCTAGTCCAAGCAACTTCCCAGGAGTCCTTTAAGAGGCGACTTGATCTATTCTTAAGGACTAAGGATAGTATCCTACTATGATTTACCAATTCATTTTCTTTCTCTTTTATCGTTAATATACCTAGGTTCTTGCCTGGAGGTATTGGTGATCCACTGCTACTAGACACGGAAGCCTGTTAAGCGAAAGCTTCTTCTATTCCGTCCACAACCATTTGAACCATTTGAACCATTTGAAGGCGAAGGCGCCTTATTTCATTTGAAGGTCAATAGTATGCTACATGTTGTGCGCGCTATACGCGCGTTACAGAAGGCCCCTACGATTATTCTAAGAAACGTATCAACCAATAATGTAAACTAGTATTTGAGTACAACTTTTCCCTAGAATGTCTCGGACCTTTCCAAAGTTCGAAATATCGGAATATCTGCTCATATTGACAGCGGGAAGACTACACTTTCCGAAAGAATTCTTTTCTACACCAACAGAATAAAAGAGATGCACGAAGTGAGTTCAAACTTTTGCCTGGTTACCATGCTATAAACATTCAATATTGATGTTGGAGATTCGTAGCTCAGGTGGACGATTAAATATTGTAATCACCAGTCACTGCTTTCTCAAGCAGCAAATAAAGTTTTAACATCATTTCCGAACCTTATTCCTTACCGTTAAATTTTTAAAGCTTGGGCTCTTGTTTGGCTATATTTGGCAGTAAGCTCGAGTTGAAAATTTTCAAGATACTTCTACTAAATAAACATTACCCAAACTAGTAGGGTTCACCAGACTTTCTGTTGTATTTTATGAAACCCTTTGGGTATGTACCTACGTCGCACAGACTTCCCGATCTCTTTTAAGGAAAGGTGGATCTTGAAAACTTACAACCATGGGATGAGTAAACAAAATCACTTGAACACTGATTTAGTTTTCAGTCCAGTAATGAGGGTAGTAGGTTGGTGAACCTGTGTTAATTCTGACAGATTACCTTCCAGTAAAGGTTCAGCTCCTTGAAAATATTCACTGATGGGTCTGATACCACTTGTTCGGGTAAGACGTTCCAGTCATTGACTACTCTACGAGAAAAACGGAACCCATTTTAAGTTTATTAGATCGCGGCTTGTGAACCTTCTTGCTATGATGTCGGAGATTATTAGTGTTGAAGGGAGCAAAAAGATAAGACATATTAACATTAAATTCACAATTAAAGACACGAAACGCCAGTATAAGGTCACTTCGCGTCCTACGATACGACAAGGGGAAAAGGCTTAGGCATTTTAAGCGCTTATCGTAAGGGAGTTTAGAAAGACCCCTCACTAATTTTGTCCCTACACGCTCAAGTAAGTCAGTATCCTTTATCAGACATGGGCTATCTGCTTGGATACAGTACTCTAAATGTGATCTTACATAGTTGGGATATAAAATTTGAAACATCACGTCAAAGCATTTGAACGCTCGGCGAAGTGACCATAACGCACGATAACGTTTAGCAGCAGCTGCTTCGCAATGCGTAGTTGTTTTGAAGTCATGACTTATTATTACTCCTAAATCTTGATGTTCTTGAACGTGTGGAAGAGATCTATCATCAATAGTACAATGGTAACTATTACCGTGTCCGATGTTCATGAGCATACTTCCTAGAATTTGTTACGAAATACAGTTTAAATAAAAACGTACCTAGCGTAAATTGCATTTAGTTCCAAGCTACGTTGTCTTTTAATGGAGAATATATTCTAAGGCTTTTACGATCTAACCATTGACTTCTGTGTTATATTATTTCTAATCTCAAATGAGACTTATTTATAGATGACCTTTGAGCGACGCTCAAGAGATCTTGAGACAGCTCACCTACTTACAAAGGTCTAAAGAGGGCTATAAATTAGTATGAGAAATTAGGATTTCGAGTTTGAATTTAGAGTTAGAAATTAAAGTGAAGTTTTTCACCGCGAACTGATATCAGCTATGGTTCCAGAATGCTATCTAACTATAGGGGTGAATGAAGTGTGTGCTGAAGTTCAAGTCAGTCAGTCAATAACAACGTGGAACTTCGTACGTACGTACATCACTTCGAGTTGCCATACTACATTAGCACAGTGATGCAGTTGTCGATTCGAATCCCGTAGTGGTAGAGGTCGTAAGAGTATAAAGAGTAATCGGAAACATTAGGGCTTGAAGATGTTATTCAAGGAGTATAATCCAGTGAAATAAATTTGGAAAGAGAAGAAAGAAAGGGACATGAGGAATTCAGAAGATTGGAATTTGGGAAAACACAGAAAGTGTATGCACCTGCGCCATTGCAAACTATTTTGAGCTATGTCATTCAAGGTCTCTAACCATCGTTTGCTATCGTCTCACGATCCCCAACCAAGTAGTATACACCTGCCAACATGGCTCGGTCCACGCTATTCTTAATTCTCTTAGTTCATCCATAAATTGTACTCGCCTTTAAAATCAGTCTAATGAGTTGTACAATCTTTAGGATCCAATACTGGATATCATAATATTGACATCCTTGTTTTACGGTCGTATACGTCTCCTTACAATGCAAGTATACGGAACAAATACTCAAATGATCACATTACAGCTCTCTAACAGTTGGTTATCTATTACTGTTGTGTTTTCCATTAACAGTATGATGTACTGTCGAGTGCAATTAGGTTTAATTTTATTCATTCCCATCCACAACGTACTATATAGTATCCTTATTATTGCTATTATTAGTTTTATCATGTTCATATACAATATTAGGCTATTTTTGAATTACAGGTATGATGAATAAATATCGGTTAATTATAGTTGCATATAAAGTTTACGTATGTTTTGTAAAAATGACGCTTTTGATATAGGTTAGAGGCAAAGATGGAGTTGGTGCTGTGATGGACTCAATGGAGCTAGAGAGACTCCGTGGGATAACAATTCAATCTGCTTCAACCTTTACAATGTGGAAAGATTGCACTATCAATCTCATTGATACACCTGGTCACGTAGATTTTACAGTCGAAGTTGAAAGAGCTCTTCGAGTACTTGATGGTGCAGTTCTAGTATTATGTGCTGTCGGTGGAGTCCAATGTCAAACAATCACAGTGGTTAGGCAAATGGATCGTTATAATATACCCCGAATCGCATTTATTAACAAGCTTGATCGCCAAGGCGCAGATCATGTTCGAGTTCTTAATCAAATAAGGTGATTCCTAAGACCGAGCTTCATAAATTTGCTAATTTTATCTAGTTTTTAATTAATTATCATTGTTTCAGCAACTTACAAACCAATCACATTCTAACTTCACAACTTATTCTCTGGGTCGTAGATGTAGAATCTACCAATATAGTGAATTATTATTTGCTGGTTTTTCTATCTGTACTAGTTCAGAATAAACGATAGCTTGTGTCAATACAGTTCACCGTCATTGAAATAAATATTTTTACGGGACTAAACTTTGTAAACCATTCTTAAATGTTTTAAGTACGGTGTTATTGTAATGGTCCGCGACTAGAATTCTGAATCCAGTTCATATAACTTATTTCATATATTAAACTAATTTGAAATTAGTATTTGATTTAGTAAAAGTAGAGCTGATAAATCACTTTATGGGCATGTAACTTGGACTTTAAAAATTGGAGGCAAGCGTAAACTGCAGGTTTTTGATGATGTATTCGAAATATTGCTTGCGTCCCATGGAGCAACTGAGTGTTTGTTAAAGGCGATAAATTGGATGGATGTTATTCATAAAGTCGTTGGCCACTAGTCTGAGTCATATAGACATGTCCGGATCCCCTAGTTGAGGTAACTGCGATAGTTGCTATCAGTGATTGAAGATGGTAGATGAAATGGCTTAGGATTGGCTACAGTGGCTTAGGTTCATCCACTTTTTATTTTCATCTGTATCTTGAGTTCTAGTATTCCTTCATGCATACCTTTTCATTCAGTTTTCGAACCGTATTATCGATGTTTAGTCTTTCTCATTATCATTACTACTGCATTATTTCGACTTGTTAATTTCCTCTCGTCATACTAATATAATATCCCAATTCGTGAAATCAAACATCTGTTCCGCGCTCTACGTTGATTATGACTGACTGTCACGGCTGACAAACGATTAGCTGCAACAATAGTTAGCACAAGAGAAAGTATGAACTCATCGCGCACGAAGGGCTACGTATGCGCTAAATAGATCTTTTTTTTTGAATAAGCTACGGAGAATCTTAATGAACCATGCAGAAATAACTTGATTTCATTGACACAATTCTCTGTCAACAATAACTACACCATAGTTCGTTCATGATCATAATAACACTGTTCTCGTTATGCTTTCAATTTATTGAGTCTGTTTCATGATCTTTATATAGAAATTTAGCAGTAGAAATTATTCACTTCTAATTACAGGAAATTCACAAATAAATAAACAAAAAGAAATATTAGAACACTTTGCAGATGACATAACATTGTATTGTGTGAAATTATTGACTACTAGTTCAAGCCTTATCGGTAGGTTCAAACCTCCTCGTTTGGGCCTCCACAATACTCTCAATTTTTGAGTTGCATGACTCAATATCGATCGTACTAATCGAGTCGCATTCTTCTGTCTTCTCCCAAAACACTAGTTATGCCATTCCTAGGTTTTCAGTCATCTGTTTTGTTTATTCCGTTAAAACTGTTTTTCACATTGTGATTCGCATTTTAGTCGAAACTAATTTTTATCCTTTGCTTCTCATTTCAATAATTTCCAATCTTAATGTACTAACTTAGGGTATGTGTATACAATAACCTTTGGATATCATTTAAAGTTTTTTGAATATTTCACGGCTATTAAACATGCTTTATATGGAGGCTTAGAGATAAAACCGCTCGGTTTCCAACTAGTAGGTCTAAATTTCAAACCTCACTTGACTTAATTTGATCTGGGGAGCCAGGTAATATCCATACTATTGGTAGTAGTAATATAATAGTGGTCATATTAGCAGGAGTACTTGTGAAGCATAATATCACTTTGAAATATTGACTAGTGAACGAATAATGTTTAGTCTCATTGTCTACCCAAATCCGATCAAAAATTACTCAAATTCACTTGTTAAATTATTTAAATGCCATGCAAATATATATACTCCTTTGCTTTTCACGGATTTTTGTTTAGATCAAAGCTTAACTTCAATTCAGCTTTTATTAATATACCCATATGTCAAGAACCAAAAAGTACAGGAATAATTGACTTAATTAGTGAGACAGTTGTTTATTTTGATGAACCATTTGGGTAAGTGTTTGAGTAAAGATTTGTTCTCATCAATTTTTGCATTCCCCTCTTTAGTTTTAATAAATGTTTTGTATTCTCTCATTTAGTGGCGCTGTAATTTAGTGGTCAACGTACCTAACTTTTAACCACCAAATTACTGGTACGGACCCCTTCCCGTTTGCTTTGGGCTTTAGCTGGAGAGTAGCGTCATCGGTCGTTATACAAAGTGTGTTGCTCAAATCCATGTGAAAGCGTTATTTACCAGTCTCAATCATTTATAAAACTGCAGACTACCAGGACGTGATTCTTAAGGTTAAACATGTTAACAACTGAAAACCATGAAATAGTGTTTCTCTTGGTTGATTCCATAGATATGATGACATATCTTACCATAGTGTAACTTACCAAGTATACGTCCATTCATTCTTGTCCAACCCTATTGTTTGTCTGAGGAGTAGTAATCCTACTCAGCTACCCGAAACAAAGTATATAGAATCGGAACCCGAACCGTTCAGTGGATGGGTCACCATCCCATGTTTTCTTGTTTACTTTTGCTTTCTCGCTGTTGTGTCTTGTTCTATTAAACAAAATATGGGAGTTTTTCACCCATTGGACTACTCTGCTACAATTTTTATTGTTATTGTTAATGAATGAACTAAGGCGTTTTAGTATCCTTGATTTAAAGTTAAGTAGTGGTATCAAAGGTAGCTACTTTTCATTTTTTTGTATAAAGTAGTGTGGTTAAATATTGATGCGGATAAGAAATATCATGTTTGTGTACACTCAACAACAACATACAAGATTTGGCCAAATGTGACTGTGAATGTGGGAGGTAGTGATTAATAGACAGGGCATAATTCAAGAATAGTAAATGGTATAATAATAGTTCATAGGTCAAAACAAAACTCATAATATGTGGAACATGGATATGAATAGTTTAGTTACATAACAATTATACGATAAAAATATACGTATTGTATTGGTCCATAAATGGATCGCAAAAGTTACCATCCATTATGCTTATTGGGACCTAACAACCCACCAACGCGGCTCAGACTAGCAGTCAATAACTTAACTGTTCGAACCTTTTTATCCCTCTTACAACATATTCCTGACATTCGCTTTTCGTCCTCTCATTTTCGTAAACAACACCCCCGCCACGAGAAGGCAGGGAGTAGAACTTTCCTGACAGAGGCTATATACGCGTGGCCATGTGAGGGCATTTCAAGAGGCAGAGCGGACTCTCCCCACTCTCGGCCGTACCAGGGCATGTCCGGCGCTTTAACCGGATCCCAAACCAATGGTACACATGGGCTCCAGTATCCTGAAGGAACAAATGGCGTATGAACCAATCGTTGGTCATCGGCTACCATGGGACTGCATCTCCTTACAATGCTCCACTGCCTTGTGGGTCAGACGTTCAGGTCGAAGGCTCGGGGTATGGCCCTCTAAGAAAACCACCTGCTTCGGTTTAGGCACCCGTTCAGTATCACAGCCCTCACACATATCAAATGAAATTTGTGTGGTGCATGTGTATTTGGTGCCTCCTTGTACCAATATTTATGTGTTAAAATAAAATAAATAAATAAATAAATACAGCATATTCCTACTCCAGTTACTTTCTCGCACAAGGGTAGATTTCAGTTGCTTATCGATAACGTAGAGACCTTGAATGACATGGCTCAAAATCGTTTGCAATGGCGCAGGTGCATCCACTCTTTGTGTTCTCTCAAACTCTAATCTTCTGAATTCTTCATGACCTTTATTTTCTTTCCCAATTTATTCCACTGGACTATACTCCTTTAATAACATCATCAAACCTTAATGTCCCCTATCTCTACTTATACTTTCAGTACCTCTACCACTATGGGATTTGAATCGATAACTGAATCTCTGTGCTAATGTGGTATGGCAACTCGAACTGATGTACGTACGTACGAAGTTACACGTTGTTACTGACTGACTGACTGACTGACTGATCGATAACGTATGTCCCAAACACCTCGGTGGATGAGAACTCAGCTTTATCAATTGACTTGTAATATATCTCGCGAGGAGCAGGCTGGGTTTCGTTCTGGTCGAGGATGTATTGATCATATCTTCACCCTCCACCAAGTGTTAGAACACCGCCATACTTATCAAAGGCCAACAATCGTAGTGTTTCTTGATATCAGGGCTGCCTTCGATTCGTTGGACAGAACTGTTCTCTGGGATTGTCTATTGAAGAAGGGTGTGCCTGAGAAGTTTATTAACATCCTAAAAGCCCTATACACAAACACCTCAGGCAGAGTGAGGGCATACAACCACCTTTCTCCACTGTTCCATTCGAGCATTGGGGTTAGGCAGGGTTGCCCAATCTCACCATTCTTCTTCAACTTTGCCATCGATGACATTCTGGAAACAGCTCTGACGGATGTAAGTAATGGTGGTGTGGATCTGTTGCCTGGAGAAAGACTTCTCGACCTTGAGTATGCGGATGACATTGTCTTACTGTGCGATAATGTTCAAGCTATGCAATCCGCACTTAATCAGTTGGCAATCAGTGTCCTTAGGTATGGTATGTGCTTTGCACCCTCGAAGTGCAAAGTACTTCTACAAGACTGGCAGGATTCTAATCCTGTAATCACTCTGGATGGTGAGCAGATAGAAGTAGTCGAGAAGTTCGTGTATCTAGGTAGCTGCATAAGTGCTGGTGGTGGTGTGAGTGATGAGATCAATGCACGTATAGTGAAAGCCAGAGCGGCTTATGCCAATCTGGGCCATCTTTGGCGCCTTCGTGATGTTAGTCTGGCTGTAAAAGGTCGAATCTACAACGCGACGGTGAGAGCAGTTTTGCTCTATGCTTGTGAAACCTGGCCTCTCCGAGTTGAGGATGTTAGACGACTCTCTGTGTTCGATCATCGTTGTCTCCGAAGGATTGCTGGCATCCAGTGGCAACACCATGTCAGTAATGCAGAGGTTCGACATCGTGTGTTCGGGCACAGAGACGATAATGCAATCGGTGTCACCATCTTGAAACACCGACTTCGGTGGCTTGGACATGTTCTACGAATGTCGTCCCAGTGAATTCCTTGTCGTGCATTATTTGCCGACTCTGGGACTGGTTGGAAAAAGCGGAGAGATGGTCAGTATATGACATGGTGTCGTGGTATAAAAGAAAGCTGCAAAGAGCTAGCTTCTGTTGGTCCTTCACGACTCCCTGGTTGGGGTCCGAAAGACGGTGTAACGCAGTGGCTAGAGACGTTATCAGATATGGCTCAGAATAGAAGCCAGTGGCGATCCTGCTGTAATTTTCTTTTACTTTCTTCATAAAAAGTGTTTGTATCTTCCTTAACTGAAAGATCTCTTCTGATTGTACCTTTCCGTTTTCCCCATCATTGTTTTCTCTCTCTCTCTCTTTTTTTTATTTATCCCCACGTTCATTACTTTTTTTTCTCTTTTCTCCTGCTCTTCAAATTATCATTGTTTTGTGTGGCGCATATATATTTGGTGACTTTTTGTACCGATATTTATGTGTTCAAATAAATAAATATCTCTAGTCTTAGAATTTCTCACTCATTTGTTCCATGGTACTCAGGCTTCCGTTCAAAAATAATTTGATCTTCTCTTAATATTTTAGTGACAAACTCGGTTTATGATAAGAAAAGACCAATTTGTTTAAATTGGTCGATAAACTTGACTGAAGAGTATAATAATATCATGTAACTAAAGTATTATCTGTGATTAGTTATGGTTACTATACAGTTTAACGTGTCACATTATTAATCTTACATCTTTTGATTTAAAATGTACAGTTTATCTCACTGTGATTTTTTTTTTCAATAGTTTAACTGTAAGACAGGATGCTATCCCATCTTCCATGTTAGCGGAAACTAAAGAACGTCGTGCTGAGTTTATTGGTAATTTTGTTTTGTTTTAATGATATACAGTTTATTTTTTATTTAGTCCTATATTTTCCCCTTCATTATTCACTTTGTTTTTGCTCTGTTAACTTACTGGTTGAGTAACAGCTCAGGACCAGTCTGAACGCCGTAAATACATTTACTCTTTGTATTCCCTTAGATACTGAGTTTTAAAATTATTTTACACGTTTTGTTCTATATGATCATATGACCTTGCAACAGTATGGGATTTATCTAAACTTGCGTGGTATATAAGAATGAAATATGTTATAATTTCTCGTATTACTACTCAGCTATTCTTATTGCTTAATATTCTGGGACACCAATTCACTCGACAATTACCCAAATCAGAACATAGTTGAACAGGAACGAAATTATATTCCATATAACGTGGGTAGATGGAAGGAAGAAGCACAATAAGAAAAAAAACGTTAGTATATTTATAGTTTTTACATGAGGAGATTCTCGAGTACTTCTCCGAGTATCGTTTAGCGCTGATTAGATAAGAAATAACCAATCAGAGTTCAGTAACACAATCGTGCACGGAACGTGCTGCAATCTAATCTATATTCTGCTAACAAAATGATTTAAATGTCATTCATCATTATTATTAGTATTATTATCACTACCTGTAAATTTGAAGTCCTTTATACTTATCAAAGAACCTTCAAACACAAGATGAGTAATGTTATGCATGTTGTAGAGCTTAAGACCTATAACGAGTTCAGTGCATCACAATAAAAAGTTGTAGTAAGTAAGCTGCAACTAAATAACCTGAATGTTGAAGTTCAATGATCGACACAAAACATTTCAATGTTATATGTAACTACTTAGCCTCACAGTATACAACTAATGTGCATTTTAAATTACCTTCTCCACCTGTGTTCATATCGATTTGAATGGATCATTGGGCATCAAGTTTAGTAAAAGGAGTATAATATAGGTTGATCATGATAAATGTCGACAATATACTATCTATGAGATGTTGTTTGCGAGAATTGATAATTGAGAAGCCTAGGCGAAAAATATCTACTTGAAGTTGAGAGCATAATTATACGTAGTCATGTCCATTAAACTTTCGTAGTTACTTTCCTAGGTTTCGAAAAGCTTCATTATTGGTGTTGTGTATCTTTAGCCAGCCTGTAATTTATAAAAGAAACTGGCACTTTCACAGTTGGTTGATCACTGGGTCGTGATCAATGTCATGCGTGTCTAGTCCTTATTAGTGCAGATCGAATGCTATCGACCATGTTGCAATGTGGCCACCAGTCTAAGTGACTCGGCACTGCGGGCACTACTGTGACATTAGATGGTGGTTGTAGGTAGTCGACAGGAAACTCTGTCAACTAACTACAACCACCATCTAAACTGACACTTAAAAAGTCATCTAGAAAGTAGACACCTAGTTGATGACCGGATCACGTTACAATTCTTATGAGAATATATCAAATATATTTTCTTTACCATAAGATCAGCAAGTAAGTTTTGTTGCGCTAATATTTTTCTTCTTAAATTATGCCATTACTTGTGTATATCATTGTACTGAGATCAAATGTAATAACACAGGGCGTGACACACTTTCTATCGGTTTTTGATGCAAGTTTTCTATAATTCAGTGGAAAATTTTGCAATATGCTTTGCATCTTAACTAATTTCATCAAATTTTTACCAGACTGTATGGGGTAAAACTACTTGGGTTACGAAAGGCGGCCGCAACCGCCTCAGTGGTCTAAAGGTTAAGCGTTCGCGCGCGAGACTGATAGATTCTGGGTTCGAATCTTGCGGGGCGGGGTCATGGATGCGCACTACTGAGGAGTCCCATACTAGGACGAAACAGCCGTCCAGTGCTTCCAGGTTTCCCATGAAGGTCTTGCTTCAATTGACTCATGAATTCAATTATTAAATGAATCAAAAATCTGGTTACGATTTTACTTGTGTGACGTCTTACTTCGTTAGTTCAATCTTTTATTGAATCCAACTTTTTTCCATGGTTATTATTTCTTAACATTGTTTCTTTTCTTACATTCCAGAATGTTTAGCTAATGCTGATGATGAGATTGGAGAAGCATTTTTAAATGAAAAGCCCTTAACTCAAGCTGAATTAAAAGCTGGTTTACATAGAGCTACACTTGCAAGACGATTTGTTCCAGTTTTAGTTGGTTCAGCATTACGTAACCGTGGTGTACAGCTTTTACTCGATGCCATTGTGGATTATTTGCCTAATCCTGGAGAAGTAATCTATTATGCTTTGGATGAAAGTTCTGGGTAGGTTCTTTTCCTTGGTTTATCTGTTTTTTAATGAAAAGGTGTTAATATTTATTTGGTCAGTCAGTCAGCTTCAACGTAGGACCAGGCACATATATGCATCGGTCCAAGTTGCCACACCTCATTAGCACAACAAAATCAACACCGGATTCATAGAAGTAGTTAATTCAGTGGTGGTAATATATAGAAGAAAGATTGCATATAAGGAGATAGTACAGGAAGAAAGATTTAATAAGTAGAAAGAAAGATATGAAGTGATTTTAATCTCTCAGTTTAAAGGAAGACAGAGAGTGTATACACCTACACCATTGTGATCGATTCTGAGCCATGTTACCAAGAGTCTCCAACCATTGGTTACGATAGTCGCGCAGACCCCAACCAGGCAGTCTGCATCTACCAACATGGCTCAGACTAGGAGTTAGTGTCTTCAAGCATCGATGCCACGTTTTGGTTTGGCCGCCCCTAACTTCCAACCATCCCCTACACTAATAAGCATTGCGCGTCGTGGTAATCGGTGTTCAGGCATACTCAACACGTGGCCCAACCATCTCAGTCGATGAAGATTCCTAACCTCATCAACTGATTTACCATCATCATTCCCTAATACCCTACACGTCTAACCTCACTATTACTTACCCGGTGATCCCAGCAGATACCGCAATATTCTAAGGCACCTGTGGTCAAATACTAGTAACTAGTAACTTATTTATCCTAAACACTTATAGTACTGACCTTGAAACTATTTATGGAATTTTCAAAATATTTTGATTGGTTCAAGTTAACTTTGGGATTTTCCAGTTTCTGGGGCTTTCTAGGAATGTTTGTAGACATTTTCTAATGAAATTATTTGTTTATATTTAACATAAATGTTAAACAAAGTTTGGACAAAGAAGGGTTACGTTATTAATCGATGTGATTTCGAACATCAATCAAAATTTAGAATTGCTGTCATGGGAGATTTTCGTCAATCCAAATGTCATTAACCACTGGAACTATTGGTGTCTTTAGGAAAAAAGTACTCATTCATAACACTAGAGGGTTTAACTACCAAAGGCTCTATATCATTCAGTTAGTCAGTACTTACAATGGAAAATTTTGTGTGAATGTTCCGATCCACAAGAATATGTTACAGGATTCACCTTAAAATTAACTTTATTGATTGTTGAATTTGTTCTTTTTTTTTCTCATCAGTTGGTAAAACTACACTATACTTGATGAACCAATCAGGTTCATGATAGTGTCTCTTGGATTTTTGCGCGAAGTTCAAAATTCAATGATGAATAGCGTGTATCTTATTAATAACTAACTAAATACTTCTAATATTTAGTTACTAGAATGTTTATAATTGATAAACATAGGAGACCATGTACCATGATTTATACATTTTCAAGGGTAATTTAACGATTCTTGATATTTAGAATCAAAGAACTAAAAACATAAGTATTCATCCGTACTGGAATACAAAGTATTTCTCTGTTTGATTTTTAATTATTACTCCTAACTGCTAGCGCTGTATTCTATCCGACTCCACCGGGGATCGAAGTGAGGACCTTCGGTCCCACTCGCGAACATTTAACCTCTAGATCACTGAGCGGGAATCCACTGGTGTGTACATACTAATATTATTAACTGATTTAAATTTATTTAACACTTTCTATGTGTGCTTTTATATTTCAGTGAAACTAGAAAGGTTCCATTGAAACCTGAACGAACCAGTGATAATCCATTCTTGGGACTGGCTTTCAAACTGGAAGTTAGTAATATTCTCATATTCATTACTTTTAATGTGTTTCGTTTATATATGTTCAGAGTTAATACTAATTCCCAGTTGTCTTACAAATTACGCTAGTGACTTTTCCATTAGTTTCAGTTGTTAACTGCAAAACCTGTTATACTAGTAGCGAATGTCCGGTGCTTTAACCGGGTTGGTGAACTTGGAGAGTCCACCTAAGGGAGTTGGAGAACCCTGATTCCAAACCAATAGTTCAAATGGGCTCCAGTATTCTGAGTGAACAAATGGCGTATGAACCAATCGTTGGTCATCGGTTACCATGGGACTGCATCTCCTGACGTTGTTACACTGCCTTATGGATCAGACCTTTAGGTCGAAGGCTCGTGGTGTGTCCCCCTAAGAAAACCGCCTGCTTCGGTTTAGGCACCCGTGCAGTATCACAGCCCTCACACATATCAAATGAGATATGTGTGGCGCATATGTATTTGGTGCCTCCTTGTACCAATATCTATGTGTTAAAATAAAATAAAATAAACACAACGATACATGAATTCGTGTCAGTAGCTACAAAATTTTCGTCTTCTTGAACTTTAGAAGGAAGCAAAGGATTCTTTGTAATGGTCTAGACATTATTCCCAGTTTGGGTTTACAGTTACAGACTTAGGTTTGAAGGTTTAGGATTAATTTGCTTGTGGTATACAACTGATATACAGAGAATTTCATCTTCAACACGTTTAACACTATCGTTTTTACTTCTTTTGAGGACGTTAGATCCTCAGAACTCACTTGGAAAAGATCTTAATTTTGTAATTTTATTCTGAAAATTTGAATTTTATGTTTTCGCACCAAGAGACGCTTAGTTGACTTACAGCTTACATTTCCCACTCGGAAATCCTTGAAAGTCATTGGTTGACGGATTTTTTTTAGTACGCTATTTTGTGGCCCTCCTAAGGGTGTTTCTATTGTTTTATAAATAAGCTTGATTTGTGTGCTTAGTGACCTCGTAGTTTCTGGGTGCTTGTAGAATACATTCTCTACGCCTCATCAAGACTTCTTGATCTAGTTAGCAGGGCCGAAAACAACGGATTAGAATAGCCAATCGTGTCACTGTATCTTTGACCTTCGTTCCGTTTACCGAGTAAGGTGAACTCATAATAGCATTCAAGCATATCAACTTCATGGTAACAAACATTTTTGTTTAAAATCTCTAACGTTCCAAGTACTAAACAAAGTATTTGTACTGTTCATTGTAGGTAAATTTTACATATAAAATCAAAAGTCGTTTATTCGATTATGATTGGCTCATCCTTATACTACACTTTCACTCATAAATTTTACATTGTACGGAATTAATTTAATCTGTTTAATTGTTTGATCAAACTTACCTTTCTCCTGATCGATTAGTCTCATTTGTTTCTGTGTGTACACAGGCCAAATAGTGTAGCTGTACTATAGGCCTGAGACAGTAAAGGTGTTTAATTAACCTTATGATTTTGAATTCGCTTTTCAACCAGTAAGAAAGGAATCCGTAAACTTCCCTTACTAGTTATAAACTTTCTGAGCAGTTTATAAGTGTTTTCTAAAATTCTTTACAGATAAAGTAAGAGTTGTTTACCAGGGGGGGCGGTCAGATCAAAACATGGTATAAATCCATGATGTCACTGATAAGTGAACTGAGCCATGTTGGTAGGTGTAGATTACCTGGTTGAGATCCGCGAAACGATAGCAACCGATGGTTAGAGACCTTGAATGACATAGCTCAAAATAGTTTGCAATGGCGCAGGTGCATACACTCTTCGTGTTCTCCCAAATTCCAATCTTCTGAATTCCTCATGTCCCTTTCTTTCTTCTCTTTCCAAATTTATTTCATCGAATTATACTTCTTGAATAGCATCTTCAAATCCTAATGTTTCCGATTACTGCTTATACTTTTACTACCTCTACCACTATGAGATTTGAATCGGCAATTGTATCTCTGTGTTAATGTGGTATGGCAACTCGATGTGATGTACGTACGTACGAAGTTCCACGTTGTTATTGACTGACTGACTTTTGAATTTTGCACAACAAACCGAATTTCCTATTTATTGGATTCTAATTGACTCGGTCTTAATATCGTAGTTATATCGATGGCTTGTATTCAATTCATCTATCGCATTGATACTTTCTTTTTAAATTGTAATTTACAAAGTATAATAACTGGAAATGAATATATATCAGAATTACTTTGATTTTTGTAAATGCTTTAGTGAAAATGGGTTAAGATACTAATTTGAAAAAAGATTGTTACTATATAGACTGATATCAACTTGATCTCTATGTGTTGCGTATGCCTGAACACCGATTACCACGACGCGCCACGCTGACTAGTGTAGGGGATGGTTGGAAGAAAGTTAGAAGCTGCCAAACCAAAACTTGGCATCAGTCCTCGAAGTCACTAACTTTTTAGTCTGAGACATGTTGGTATATACAGACTACTTGGTTGGGTTCCGCGTGACTATCGTAACCAATGGTTGGAGACTCTTGGTAACATGGCTCAGAATCGATCACAATGGTGTAGGTGTATACACTCTCTGTCTTCCTTTAAACTGAGAGATTAAAATCACTTCATATCTTTCTTTCTACTTATTAAATCTTTCTTCCTGTACTATCTCCTTATATGCAATCTTTCTTCTATATATTATCACCACTGAATTAACTACTTCTATGAATCCGGTGTTGATCTTGTTGTGCTAATGAGGTGTGGCAACTTGGACCGATGCATATATGTGCCTGGTCCTACGTTGAAGCTGACTGACTGACTGATCTATCATTTAAGCACTGAAGTTACATACAATGTCGATCAGACTAAATGTGAGTTTATCACTTAAAAATAGTTTAGTAAGATTACTTATTGAATTTGGTTCCTTTTTTTATTGTTGGTTGGATTATCTTAATTGTTTTTTTTGAAATTTAGGCTAGTAAATTTGGTCAGTTAACTTATATGCGTATTTATCAAGGTTGTTTACGTCGTGGTGATTCAGTAAGAAATTCTCGTACAGGTCGTCGTATACGAGTGTCTCGACTTGGTCGATTAAATGTTACAGAATTAGAAGATTTAGAAGCTGTTTATGCAGGAGATATTGCTGCATTTTTTGGTGTTGATTGTGCATCTGGTGATACAATGGTTGATGTAAATATGAAAGAACCATTAGCTATGGTGAGTTTTTTTTACTTAACAAAATCTGGAGCATTAACTTGTCTAATATGATGGCATTTTGTAATCATTTATGTAAAATTAACTTATTAATGACATGTTTCTACATTCTTCCATAAGGCATACACTACATATGAGCCAGTATCGATATTAAGTGGGATTCGAACAAATGGAGTTGTCAGTAGTTGAAAAGCGAGTCATTTAACCATTAAACTACCTTTTTAATGACATGTAAGTAGGTATGTCTTATTACACATTATTAAGTTTCTTGTAATCTGAATCAAGTGCCAGTGCCAGTGAAAATGGAGCACGAATACAAGTAAAATATATTACTAATATCAAGTTTATTTTACTACGCAGTTTCAGTAGATGACAATATACTTATAATAGGCCTTCAAAATACGAAATTAACACTTTAATAACTATTTGCAGAAAGGCAGTGGTCTCAAAGTCACATTCCCAGTTTGATGAAAACTACCAGTAATCCAATTCCCCTTATAGGTTCCTCAAGAACACATTCTTTCACTGTGTGAGCAACTGTGAAGTGACACCTCTTCACATTCACTTTTAACAAGACATTATTATTAGCTCACTGCACAATTTTATCGTCGAAATGAAAAAAAAAACCCGTCAGATTTAAGTTACTAGTGGTGAAGTTAATTTTCACCACACGGAATCGAACTCAAGACTCTAAGTTCTCATAGTGAACACCATTTAATTCAACCTGTGAATCAGAGTCCACTGACCCATATTATCTACTCCGACCAATTTGTGATCTAGTTCACTCCTTAACCAATGTAACTGGCAAATTTTCTGTCATTACTTCCAAGTAAATCATCTCAAAGTCACTTATTAGTCAGCTAAGTAGAGAATGGTGTATAGTAATAGATCATCAATGATGTTGGTTTTCAATCACGTTATATTACGGGTAGACTGGAATTCACAAAATGTGGACAACTAGATTTAGCGTATGGATCTATAAATGCATACTGTCAAAAGATCCAAAATTAGCACGAGACAGTGCTACTAGTCCTTATTTTCTAAATCGTTCTACAGTTCATGTCACTGTGCGAAAGTACACTATTATGGCTTCTGTATTCCTTCTGAATATATTGATATTGTATTCTATTCACCAAATGGTCTAATTGCAGAATTTCCATTGTCGTTCTGTACATTACATGTATCTACTTACATTGAATAAAGTGAACACGCTCTTCATCTACCCATACATGAACATAGGTTAGCAATAAGGCGAAACGACATGCATTAATATCAATATCAGTACACACAGACAAACGAATATTTAAATTCGATTAGGGGAATTTCGAAATTATGAAGCACGGGAATTCCAAAAACGTGACAGAATTTTTAGAAGCCCGTCATTCAAATCATTCGGCAATTAATATACATCTCGATATAGATCCAATCTATCAAGTCATATGAAAGAGATCAACCAATCAAATGATCCGAGGTTGACTGAACAAAACAGTCAACTGGAATACTAAGATATGATGATGGTAGAACTTATGCAGACAACCAATCATAAACAAGGCTATCAAGACTAGTCGATGTAACACTCGTAGAATAATTGAAAAGCTCACTTCTGCATAAAGTATAGACTGATGATGCTTCCCAGAATGACAATAAAAGTTCTACAAGCAAAACGATGTAGCTTAGAGAATACAACATCAGAAGCATTGATTTGAGTTCCAAATCATTTTATCATTTCTTTGGAATATTTGATTTTTTCTTCACTATAGGAATCAATGTTCATCCCAGAACCAGTTGTATCAATGTCAATTAAACCGACAAATAAATCAACTGTTGAATCATTTAGTAAAGGTTTAGCACGATTTACACGTGAAGATCCAACATTTATTCTTTCACAAGATTCTGATACTGGTGAATCAATAGTGTCTGGTATGGGAGAATTACACTTGGAAATTTATGCTCAACGTTTAGCACGAGAGTATAGTGCACCGTGTACATTAGGTAAACCTCGTGTTGCATTTCGTGAAACATTAAGTGAACCATTCGAGTAAGTTTGTTTTTGTTGTTGCTAAAATCATAATGTAATAATGATTCGATATTCAAGATATCGTTACATATTTTGATCATTATTAATTACTTTCCCGTTACTAGACATTCCCGTGTACATAAAAGTGCGGTAGTATTGTGAATACATTTCCCTATTATGTAATGACCTTCACATATAATGTAAATTCACGGAAGTACATGGTAGAGAAAAAATAGGCAAACATAAAGTAATGTGGTTTGACTGTATGTTGACAGATCACTTCCTTTCTACCCTTTTCTTTTTCATAGACAGTAGATGTACTAGGCAAAGATGGCGAATAAGTTGTCAAGGCTTTAAGTTTTCATCGACTCATTTGTCAAAGATATGTGTTGCGTATCAACATATAATGCTGGTTGGAATAGGTCGGTAGGAAGTTAACAGAGGTTAAACCCAATATATGACAGTCTATTCAATCATTGATCACTGAACTAACGAGTTTTGGTTGATGAGGTCTTCCTTGTCTGACCCCACAGGATAACTGTTCTCATTTGATGAAAATTTAGTATAACATAGCTGAGAATTGGTTTCAATAGGTAGATGTATTCACTTTTTATCTTTTTATGGATCTTGAGTTTCAAAACTCCTTTATACATTCTTTTTCTAACTATATGTATATCATCATAATGGAATGATGAGATTGAAGAGGTATAAAGAGTGCTGTAAATAGATATAAAACATGTGAGGGAAGATTCTGAAATATCAGAAATATTAACAAGAGATCTTAGAGCAAGATTCGTTGACAACACTTTTATTGTTGAGTTCATGAGTCAATTAAAGCTAGACCATCATAGAAAACCTGGTAGCACTGGACAGCCGTTTCGTCTTAGTGTGAGACTCCTCAGCAGTGCGCATCCACGATCCCGCCCCCCCGCGAGATTCGAACCCAGGACCTATCAGTCTCGCGCCAGGCGCTTAATCAACTAGACCACTGAGCAGGCATATAACGGTGTTAATGTCTAACTTCAACTAATCTACGGAATCGAGCCACTGTCCACCATTATTTTCAGTGAGTTACTATTTCACAACAAACTCGGTTGAACTCAACTGGTCTCTGCTTCTCACTAGAACTCTAGGATATACGAACATTTAGATAAAGCTGAATTTTCACCATAGGCGAGCTGCTGTCTGAGTCGAAACGGATACAAAAAGTAGAAATAGGAGATAGTGAATAAACGACGTAGTAAATAATAATAATAATAATAATAATAATAATAATAATAATAATAATAATAATACCAGTCATTTTAATGTTAGTCGGAGAGAAACGAATATTTTCTATAAGCAGATTGTTCATCATCGTTGTCTCCGAAGGATTGCTGGCATCCAGTGGCAGCACCATGTCAGTAATGCAGAGGTTCGGCATCGAGTGTTCGGTCACAGAGACGATAATGAAATTGGTGTCACCATCTTGAAACACCGACTTCGGTGGCTTGGACATGTTCTACGAATGTCGTCCCAGAGAATTCCACGTCGTGCATTATTTGCCGACTCTGGGACTGGTTGGAAAAAGCGGAGAGGTGGTCAGTATATGACATGGTGTCGTGGTATGAAAGAAAGCTGCAAAGGGCTAGCTTCTGTTGGTCCTTCACGACTCCCTGGTTGGGGTCCGAAAGACAGTGTAACACAGTGGCTAGAGACGTTATCAGATATGGCTAAGAATAGAAGCCAGTGGCGATCGTGCTGTAACCTTCTTTTACTTTCTTCATAAAAAGTGTTTGTATCTTCCTTAACTGAAAGATCTCTTCTGATTGTGCCTTTTCGTTTTCCCCATCATTGTTCTCTCTCTCCCTTTTTTTTATAATTCCCCACGTTCATTACTTTTTTCTTCTCTTTTCTCCTTCTCTTCAAATTATCATTGTTTTGTGTGGCGCACATGTATTTGGTGCCCCCCTGTACCAATATTTATGTGTTCAAATAAATAAATAAAACTAGGATATACCTCTTGAAGCCAGTCTCTAGTGAGCATATGATTATTATTATCAGAAGGGGTTTTGTGGAAATTTTAGTCAATTTATAGTTGAATTCATGCATGCGCACTGTTGAGGAGTCTCATATTAGGACGAAACGCTCGTTCAGTGTTTTCACGTTTTCCATGTTGGTCTAGCTTCAATCGACTTATGAATTCAACTATGAAACTACTAAAATCTCCACAAAACCCTTTCTGATAATAACACTTTTATTGTATGTATTGATATAAAACAAGCAAAACCGTTGTTAAACTTTTTCAAAGTTACTTGTAAAAATATTCAATTTACCATAGAATATGAAAACAATTTTCTCGATATTGCCATATAACGAAGGAAGGATGAGGTGATACAGGTCAATGTTTAGTTTATCGAAAAATGACATAGAATGATGTTTATTTGAATTTTAATGGCTTTTGTCTAACTAGTTACAAAAAGACACTTATCTAAATGCTATTCGACATAATGGAAAGGATATACATTATTGATAAATTAGAATTAGAATTAATAAACGTTAAATAATGTCTAAGAAACAATGAATATCCAAAGAAATTGGTAGACTTAGAGAGTTCACTTAGGGGAGTTGGAAAACCCTGATTCTAAACCAATGCTCCACATGGGCCTCAAGATACTAAAGGAACAAATGGCGTATAAACCAATTGTTGGTCATCAGCTACCATGGGATCACATCTCCTTGCGTTGTTGCACTGCCTTGTGGATCAGACCTTTATATCAAATCGTTTGCAATGGCGCAGGTGCATCCACTCTTTGTGTTCTCTCAAACTCTAATCTTCTGAATTCTTCATGTCCTTTATTTTCTTTCCCAATTTATTCCACTGGACTATACTCCTTTAATAACATCATCAAACCTTAATGTCCCCTATCTCTACTTATACTTTCAGTACCTCTACCACTATGGGATTTGAATCGATAACTGAATCTCTGTGCTAATGTGGTATGGCAACTCGAACTGATGTACGTACGTACGAAGTTCCACGTTGTTACTGACTGACTGACTGACTGATTTATGTGGCGCATTTGTATTCGGTTCCCTCATCGTACCAATATTTATGTGTTTAAATAAAATGAAATAAAAGAATAAAGAGATTTATTGAGAAATATGAGTAAAGTAAAGAGAAAACACCTGTAGAAACCATAGTAAGCTTGAATTCATTCGAAGGTGACAATGTTGTAGTGACCAATAAACATTTACTTTTCGTCTTATTAGTTTTGTTTGAATAATACATAATTGTGCCAGACTGTATATTTGAGATGGTGTAGAAGATTTATTGCTCAGGTGACTGATTTTGATGGAGTGTTTTCTTTGAGCTGGATGGCTTGGTCGTGGAGCTTTCATCGTTCTTCTGAACGACATCATCAGCACAAACTTCAAGTAGGTACCGCGATCAAACCATCCAGCTCAGAGAACAAAACTCCATCAAGACTGTATATTTATTATGATTAATTGACTTATTAGCTCCAGTCAATGTAAGAAAGAATCTTGCTTAAGAAATTGATTGGAAGACCTTAGATAAAGTATGATCTTAACGAAATGTAGTGGCATTTAAATATGTTCACAGTGTAGGACACAAAATTAGTACACTAAAAGAGTGACAAATTGTTATAATTAGAACTTAGATATACCGCGTATAACTTGAGAAGTCGAACGCTTAAGCCCTCCAAGTTGCGAATAAGAAGAGGACTGGAGAAGGTGCTTGTTGGCACGAATAAAAATGTACAAGAAATTATGGGTTTTTACAGATGATAGCAATTGTTATATCAACATTATAATTCAATCAATCCGCAAAAAGGCATGTTATGCTACTGAATAATAGTAGCATGCCAAGTTGACTTTCTAGGCAGTTCCACTGCATTCTGATTGGATGGAACTCTTTGGCTGCTATAGGTCCTCCGGAGGTTTCGTCGTAGTTCTCGGAACCCGTCCTAACACAAACCAGTAAGGCGAAAGTATTTCAGGCATGAAAAACACGGACATCTTGCCTAGATGAAGAGAGATAGCGATTTTTGTGATAAGAACATCCGTTAACCTTGATTTAACAACATTTCGCTACTATTCGGCACTTCCACTACGAATAACATCTCTGGATTTTCCTCATCGTTCACTATTTGCTCACATTGAGACTGGGTGAAAAAAGCTAGAATATACTGATCAGATTATGACATGTCTTTATGGTATAAAAAAAGTTTATATAGAACCGATATCTGTTAGTCTGCCAGAACTTTATTGTTTGAGTCTTAGGAAGCGATAGTACATTCAATGTCTTTGAGACATTATCAGACCTATAGTTTAGAATAGTACCAATTAGTAGTCCTACTCATACCTGTTCGATAATTACTTTTTTCATTATCTTATTCTTTCTTTCTTCTTTATTTTAGATTTGATTATCTTCATAAACGACAATCTGGTGGTGCTGGTCAATATGGTCGAGTAATTGGTATACTTGAACCTTTACCTCCTAATTCTTATACAAAATTGATTTTTTCCGATGAAACAGTTGGTACAAATGTACCTAAAAATTATGTTCCAGCTATTGAAACTGGTTTTCGTAATTCATGTCAAATTGGTCAGTTAGCTGGACAAAAAATTACTGGTGTACGATTTCGTTTACAAGATGGTGATAATCATTGTGTAGATAGTAGTGATTGGGCTTTTCAACAAGCAGCTGAAGGTGCTATGAAACAAGGTAAAAATTTTCTTTTCGTCAAGACTATAATTTATAGACGAACCAATCAGGTATAAGATAACAGGTTTCGGATTTTGGCGTGGAATTCACTCATTCAATTGGCTAAATAGAGATTTAGCCTTATAGCTGATGTCAGCTCGTGATGAAAACACTAAATCTAATTCCTAACATTAGCCATCAAATGTAAATCATAATTCTAATTCCTCACACTGGTTTATAACCGTCATTTGATCTTAGTTACTGGGTGGACATTCTCAAGGTCACTTTATTGTCGCTCAAAGGTTGTCCATAAATTATAGTCTCACCAAAAGAGTTGTATTCTACAATCAGTGCCATTCGTTCTTTTAGTAATATTGCGAACAGAACCAACTCCGTGTGTGTCATATTTTCGCTCTTACGGTTATAACCCAGCTATTCCTATCGCTTAGTATTCACGGTCACAGATTCACTCGACAAGGCCCCAAATCAGAACACGATTGAGCAGGAAGGAGATTATATTCCAAATAACAAGGTTAGGTGAAGCAAGAAGCAAAATAGGAAAACCGTTAGTGTATTTATAGCTTTTTACATAAGAAGAATCTAGAAGCTTCTCCATGTATAGACTAGCGCTGATTGGATAAGAATCAGCCAATCAGCGTGCGCCAAAGCAATCGTGCATTGAGCATGCTTAAATCCAATCTATGTCCCACTAACAGTGTGACATGTCAATTTTTCTTAGTTACCAATGATTATTACTTAATTACGATTGTAAGCGTTTAATGCAAATCCTTGAAACCAAATAAAAGACTCTTTTCGTTTAAATGAGTAGCTATTGAATGTTTTCTTTTCTTCTATATCAATATGTATCTATCTAGCTATGGATGAAGGTTCCTGGTTATTATTAGAGCCAATTATGTATGTGGAAGTATCTGGACCAGCAGAATTTCAAGGTGTATTAATTGCCACTGTAACACGACGTAATGGTCTTATTGTTAGTACGGAAGTTAATGAATCTTATGCTATGGTTAATGCAGAAGTGAGTTCTATATTTCTTTTCTTAAAATTCGTTATGAATAGTTCCAATTAATCATAATCATTAAATTATCTGTTTCGTCATGATGTGTGAAACTTCAGAAACTTTTTGTATTTACCATGTCTAATACTCTTCGTACCAGTATACTTTACACGATCTAATGTGATCGAAAAATAAAACAGAATAACGTAAACATCAAATATACTCAGTCAGTCATCTACAACGTAGGACAAGGCACATATATGAATCGGTTCAAGTTACCATACCTTATTAGCACAACAAGATGAACACCGGATTCATAGAAGTAGTTAATTCAATGATGGTAATATATAAAAGAAAGACTGTGTATAAGGAGATAGTACAGGAAGATAGAATTAGTTCCTAGAAAGAAAGTTATGAAGTGATTTTAATCTCACAGCATCAAATATACTACAAAAAGAAGCCCTAAGAATTTGTACAAAAGTATAAAACAAAATTACACAAGGTTTTACGCAACAATTACATAAAAAAATGCTTCGATTAACTTCTGAACTACTCATTCACCTTGAATGATTCAACCGAAATCAACATCCGAATTGTCCTCGTGCTTTTTATGCAAGCTAAATCCTTAAGTGTTGTCTATCTCCGCAGATGATATAGTCGTGTTTGGTGAAGACGCAGATAAAATGCAGAGTCTTTTGATAGCACTGAACAACAATGTCAGGATGTTTGGGATGCACTTCTTTCTCTGTAAATGCAAGTTGTTGCTTCAGGCAGGACTGGTCTGCGACATCACCTGAACTAAGGATAGGGAGTGAAGTAGTCGAACGCGTTGACAACTTCACTTATCGTGGAAGTCTGATCAGCCGTAGTGGGTTGGTGTCTGACGAAATCTCTGCACGCACTCAAGAAACTCCTTTGGCTTTTTCTAACTTACGTCATCTATGGCGAAGGCGAGATATCCCTCTACCCCCAAATGCCATGGTACGGCCGAGAGTGGGGAGAGTCCGCTATCCATCTCCCAATGCTTTCATATGGCCACGCGTATATAGCCTCTTCCAGGGAAGTCCTACTCACTGCCTTCTCGTCGCATTACTGTTGTTTACGAAATTGAGAGGACGAAAAGCGAATATCCGGTGCTTTAACCGGGTTGGTGAACTTGGAGAGTCGACCTAGGTGAGTTGGAAAACCCTGATTCCAAACCAATAGTGCAAATTGGCCCCAGTATCCTGAGTGAACAAATGGCGTATGAACCAATCGTTGGTCATCGGCTACCATGGGACTGCATCTCCTTACGATGCTCCACTGCCCTGTGGGTCAGACGTTCAGGTCGAAGGCTCGTGGTGTGTCCCCCTAAGAAAACCACCTGGTCCGGTTTGGGCACCCGTGCAGTATCACAGCCCTCCCACAAATCAAATGAGATTTGTGTGGTGCATGTGTATTTGGTCTAGTCTGAGACATGTTGGTAGATGCAAACTACTTGATTGGGGTCGGCGTCACTATCGTAATTAATAGCTGGAAACTCTTGGTGACATGGCTGAGAATCGATCACAATGGCATAGGTGCATACACACTTTGTCTTTCTACGTACTAATTCTTTCTTCCTGTACTATGTTCTATGAATCCGGTGTTGATCTTGTTGTGTCAATGAGTTATGGTAACTTGAACCGATGTATACATGTGCCTGGTCCTGCGTTGCAACTGACTGATTTTCTATCCTCTTATCACAGTGTAATCACATATCATCCATTTTCTGATCATGTATTCCGATAACGATCATTACTATTCTATTAAAGACTAATAATAATGATAGTAACATTTGATTTTCGGATGACTCGGATATCACAGATCTGAAAATATCATCATTAAATACATACCACCTCATTTGTATATGTGTATTTGAAAAGAATAATAACATGGAAATCTTATTGTTATGCATTTATTTTAAAGACAGGTCGTCAAACTTTTTACACTCAACAATTCATCCCCTGCACTATTTCTAATAGGTACCATTAAATGATATGTTTGGTTTTTCTGGTGAATTACGCAGTATCACTGAAGGTAAAGGTGAATTTACAATGGAGTATTTAAAGTATTGTCCGACTAGACAAGCAACTAGCGATGCATTAATTGCAGAGTATGAAGCAGCTGAAGAGGCAAAATTGATTGCTAGCGGTAAAGGTGGAGCAATTGCTAGAAGAAAGAAGAAGTAATTAACTACCGACTTTTATTGAAGGGACTAAGACAAGCAAGTTATTTAGTTGTTATTTATCATTCTTAAATCAAGTCTACTAAATTAGTTGAAATTTTGATATAGGAAGCTGTTGTTAACTAATATCATGCTAACGAAAAACCATAAATGTTATTACGAGCTTATCACATAAGTGTTCACTGTTTAATAAGGCTCTCGGATTATAACAAAGTAATTCCCAAATCCTTGCTGATGATATTCAATGATGCTCTTCAACTGATATTTGTTTGTGACGACAATTATCTTTGAGTTAGTATTTGTTGAAAGGAAAGAGATGTTATTTCTCCAAGAGATCGTTTATTTAATGATTACTTTTTAGAGTTGAATCTATATTTTTCCCTTCGAAATCGTCAATCGTGTTTAAAGTTGCTATTTTCTTATTGGTTCATGTCTCTCTTACTACACTAAGTTCTTGCTCTATTTCTAAGTTCATTGTACATGTGCTCATGCATGTATATTGTTTGCTTAGATCAGTATGCTTTGTTGTCTACCAAATAAATCTTTATTGGGAGGTTGAATTAGTCGGAGTTGAAAGAAACAGAGTGTTTTTGCACTTAATAATCAAAACTACGCCAAAAGTTTTTGCCTTTAGTTCAAGAGGAATCATATTCCAATCTGTAGGTATGAATAATATCACAGAACATTTTATAATTAGCACTCAATATGAAAATAAGCAACTTATTTGGAATAAGTACCAATGAAATAATATTAGTAATTAATGTAGACAAATCGATTACAAATGAGAAGAGCGAAATAAAACACTGAAATTGTGGTTGACAAATTTTACTGTAATTTCAATAGTTGAGATCGTGAATCAGTTGAAGCTAGATCACCATGGAAGAAAACTGAGAAGCACTGGACGGCCGTTGCGTCCTATTGTGGGACTCCTCGGCATTGCTCATCCACGACCCCGCCTCGCGGGGTTCGAACCCAAAACCCATCGATCTCACGCCAGGCACTTAACCAACTAGAACAGTGAGCCGGTATCCAATAGTGTTAATGTCTAACTTCAACTAATCCACGAAATTGAGCGACACATCCACCATTGTTATCAGTAAGTTACTATCTCACAACAGACCAGTGGAGTTCAACCGGGTCAGTTTTACTGTACTCAATCTTTAGAAAAGTTTGAAAATAACTTGACCTACTTATATTAGTAAGTAGTTTGGAGTAGTCTACAAAAAAGATGATTATGATATGTGTATTTAAATTTTGCTAGTCCAAGAAGGCGGAGTTGATTCGATAAATGTATAAACTTAAGATTGGGCCTTTAGAAATTTCTATGCAAACTGCTTAAAACCGTTATCAGGTAAGTCTTATGGTTTTTAATTACCCCAAAATGCTCTAGTACAACTGAGGATGGGGAAAGTTCTCTTTCCCTCGCGGAATGCTCTCACATGGCCACATGTATACGGCCACTTCCAGTGAAGTTCTACTCACTACCTTCTAGCGGCGACAGAGTTGTTTACGAATTTGAGAGGATGAAACTCGGATATCTGGCGCTTTGACCGGGTTGGTGGATACAGAATATCCACCTAGGGGAGTCGGGAAACCCTGAATCCACACCAATGATGCACTTTGACTCTAGGATCCTGAGGGAACAAATGGTACATAAACTTATTGTTGTACGCTGGATATCGTGGAATGTCGCCTCCTGTTAACAATAAACAGATAAACACAACATGATGTATACCCTACAGTTAGAATTGAAACTGATTACTGAACGTTAGTAAGTAGTATAATACAGTATATAAGAGAATTGGAAAAGAAGGGAATTTACATAGAATGCAAACGGACTTGACAGTAATAGTTTGCTTATTATCCTGATTATTATAAACTAATAAGTGACAAAGTTCTGTTTTCTTCCCCACCTTTTTTTCTACCTATCTTCCCTTCTTTATGATAGAATTGATTTAAGAAGTCAATGAAAAGGAAGGATTATTCTCTTTCTGATGGTAAATCATCCATACATATGTCTTTCTTAACTGTAAAAAGAATATAATTCATACATAAAATGTATATTATCCGTGTCACCCTGTCTCTATGTTTGTAGTTTGTTTCAATAAATTGATTTGATACTAGAAATTATTTCTATTTTGTTCTCAATATTATTTTGGCGACATTGTGACAAAATCCAACTCACACGTCCGCGTCGTGCTTCCTGGATAGTAGGACGGATGATCCATGAACTAACGTGAGCGGTAACCCGGGTGGTGGAGATCGAACTAATCACCTACTCGACCGATACCCTCAAACGATTATGAACTCCACAAAGAAACACAGCACAATTACTCTTGGATGGAAAAACGACAAAAAACTTTCTAAAGTTGTGCGTGTAATGTACGGGGTAGCTCCTTACGGGGCAAACTCCAACTGGTTGCAAAAACAGCTATTCTAGACCCGATAGTTATGCCGTGCTTCGATGTGGCCTGTTTCTCTTCAGAAGGGCCTACTAGGCTTCACCAACGTGTTTGGCTGGAAGGGGGGCAAGGGAGGGGGATATAAAATGACATTCAGTAAAGTAGCTGTCGGGATCCTAGTCTACTCACAATTACTGATACACTAATGCAAATCGGTAACCAAGTCAAGTATACACAGTAATAATCGGGGGCCACTTCAATTCCTTAATCCTATCGCTTACACATTGAAACGGTGACCACTGCAATTCCGACGATACAAAGTGAGAACATGAATGACCGGAGTAATGAAGATCTATTGAATCTGCAGAAACTAGTCCCAAAACACAATCATTTCTATAGTAGTTTTTATTCACTTTATAATAAAACATAAAAGAGGAAATGTGTAGAGTCAACTGCAAAAATGTATACTAATTATAGTTCATGCGAATTGATATAGGGAATATAATTTCCACACTTTTCATATAGAAGAAAGTTTATACTGAATTGAAACAAGATAAGATTGATCTAAATAATATCATCTTTTTATCCCGTCATATAAACGACCTAGATCCAGGGATTCCCACTAACTAATTTCAACTACCTTACATCTCAACATTATGCATGCAATATCGAGTCATCTAGGCTGGTAACCACATTACAAGTAGGACTTGGCATACAGGACATTGGTCACGATTCAGTGACTTTTTAAAATTTCACTAGAATGACGGGACATATGTATCCCTTTGGAAATCACACATTATCTGACTGGCCGATAAAATGGCATCGAATTAGTTTACAAATAATCATATCTTTATTTGTAGGACAGGTATACTGTTGAGTGATAGCGGTGGAGAAAGGAAAGAATTAAAGTATGCGAAAAGTGTTCCATAATCGTGAAACGTTTAGTTAACATTATTGTTCGAAATGTCATCACTAATTCTCACTATGTATTTTTCTGTCCGGAAACAGCTGAAAATTGGAACATTAAGTCTGTTAAATCCGCCTGAGGATTAAAGACCGAGCGATTGAGTCATGCGGAAAATCCCGAATCCAAACAAAGATAAAAGCTTTGGTTGGGATCGTGAATCGGTTGATGTTAGACTACCATTGAAAATCTGAAAATATTGGACGGCCGCCTCGTTTTAGTATGGTACTTTTCATCAGTTTTCGTCCACGACCCCACCCAGGACCTTCGGACTCGCGCGCGAACGCTGAGCCGGCATCCAACCGTGTTAATCTTTAGCTTTAACCGATTCACGAAACTGCGCGACTGTCCACCATTGTCTTCAGTGAGTAACTGCCTCACAATGCACATTGCTGAACGCTTCTCACTAGAACTCCAGAAAATACCTCTTGAAGCTAGCCACTAATGAGTGCATGCTAAGGACGAAACTACCATCCAGTGCTTCCATAGTGGTCTAATATCAATCGACTCATGATGTCAATCAAAAACATAACAATCTCCACAACACCACACTGATAATTACCATGTACTCACTAGTAACTAGCTTCAAGAGGTAATTATCGGAGTTCCAGTGAGAAGCCTTGACCAGTGCAGCTAATCCGTGTCAAGTAGGGACAGGTATCTACTTCAAACACTGGAAGATGGTTGCACAATTTCGCAGATTGGTTGAAGTTAAACATTAACACCGTTGGATACGAGCTCAGTGGTTTAGAGGCTAAGCGTTCGTGCGCGAGATCGAACGTCTTTGGTTCGATGGATACTGCTGAAGAGTCCCATACTAGGGTGAAATGGCCATCCAATGCTTCCAGGTTTTCAATAGTGGTCAAACATCAATCGATTCATGATCCTAATAAAAAATTTTACAATCTCCACAACCTCATACCCCAATATAGAATTTGTTTACAGGACGGTACTACTAATAAATAATAACATATGTAGTACGCTTTACAATCTTCAGGGTATGAGGTATCTAAGTAGTTACACTCGTCAAAGTATAGTCAAAGAACAATTGTTTTTTTGTAATAGTTATGTAAGAATAATTAACGAGAACACGCGATGAACCATGTAGCTATGTTAGATTGAACAATGATTGACAATAAATCATAATTAAAACTTAATGTACGATAAGGAAACGAATTTTCAGTGAATTCACAATAAGTGAAGATAAACTATAAAGTATGTTAGTAGAATACAGTTAAAGATAATTAAACGTCACGAATTCATATGGATACATAGAAATATAGCACAACAATGTGGAGGAATTATCTGATGTGTTTCAAAAACGGTTGATAGTAACATACCTTCACCTGTTACTCCTAATGGAGCATAGACCGCCGACCAGCACTCTCCATCCCACTCTGTCCTGGTCCTTCTTTTCTACTTCCATCCAATTGTTGTTCATTTTTCTCATGTCTATCTCCATTTCTCGGCGTATTGTGTTCTTTAGTTTTCCTCTTCTCCTTTATTTAGACTTGAGGATTCCATGTGAGGGCTTGTCCTGTGACACAGTTGGGTGCTTTCCTCAATGTGTGTCCTATCCACTTCCAGCGTTTCTTCCTGATTTATTCCTCCACTGGAATCCTGGTTTGTTCCCTGCCACAGTAGGTTGTTGCTGATAACTAACGGATCCGAAGTAGTTTGCGTAGACAACTGTTAATAAACACTTGTATCTTCTGGATGATAGCTTTGGTAGTTCTCCAGGTTTCCGCCTCATACAGTAGAACTGTGTTGACATTTGTATTGAAAATCCTGACCTTGGTGTTGTTTGACAGACAGTTGTTTTGAATTCCAGATGTTCTTCAGTTGTAAATATGCTGCTCTTGGTTTACTGATCCGGATAATAACGTAAGTTACTGGATATTTGTGAACAGTAAAGTCTACTATACAAGAATGTGCCAAATAAGAGACCATTGTTGATGATAAGGCAACAAAGAAGTAATTACCTCAATAATACTAAGTAAAGTTAGGGGAGATGAAGAAATTTCATGAAATTTAATCCATACAGGTCACATTCAGTGTTAAGTAATAACCTAGACTATTAATCTAAATAAATTAGAATAGTTGCTACGCCAGCAGAAAAGATTTATTGAACAGTATGTATAACTAACCCTGCTGAAAACTTTCGATGTTCTGTGAAACATTTACGCCTGTTGCTCTTCGTGGATGAACATCTGCCGTCTATCAGTATTCTTCATCCAATTCTGCCCTAGGTGATCCTTTCCAGTTGCTATTCATCATCTTTATATCTACATTTAATTCTCGGTGAAGTGTGTTCTTTCACCTTCGTTTTTTCCACTTCCCTTCAGGATTCCAAGTTAGCGCTTGTCTTGTGATGCAGTTTGCTGATTTCCACAATATATGTCTTAACCGCCAACTCTATCGTTTATACCTAATTTCCTGCTCATCTGGAAGCTGGTTTATTCTCCGCCACAGTAGGCTGTTGTTGATAGTATACGGTCAACAACAGATATTCAGTATCTTGAGTTCACAACTGTTTATAAGTATTTGTATACTTTTGATGATGGTTGTGATAGTTCTCAAAGTTTCAGCTCCATACAGTAGAACCGTCTTGACATTCGTATCGAAGGTTCTGGCACTGATATTGGTTGACAGTTATTTTGAGTTCCATATGTTCTTTAATTGTAGAAATGCTGTCCTTGCTTTGCCGATCCTTGCTTTTACGTCTGTATCGGATTGTCCTCGTTCATCGATGATGCTACTCAGATACGTGAAAATTGTATCGTTTTCCAAAGTTTCGCCATCAAGTGTGAATGGGTTGGTGTTCTCTGTGTTGCATTTGAGGATTTTGGTTTTACCCTTGTGTATGTTGAGGCCTACTGATGCAGAAATTTCTGCCACACTGGTTATCTTGACCTAAATTTGTTCATGTGTATTAGATAAAAGAGCCAGGTCATTTGTAAATTTCAAATCGTCTAGATGTATCCAACATGTCCATTTTATTCCGTCTTTTCCTTGAGATGTGGAGATCTTCATAATCTAGTCAACTGTTAGAAGAAATATAAAGGGCGAGAATAAGCAGCCTTGTCTAACTCTGATCTTCACTTAAAATGCATCTGTCAGCTATCCTCCATGCACCAATTTGCCATGTATTCCGTCGTATGAATTTACGTTTGGTGTTGATGATTTCCTCTGTTACACCTTAGTGTCAAAGAATGTTCCATAATGTTCTCCTATCCACGCTGTCAAATGCCTTCTCTCATAATCAATGAAGTTGATGTATCACAATTGATTGATCACTGGGTGACCAATGTCATGCGTGTCTAGTCCTTATTATCAGTGCAGATCGAATGCTATCGATCATGTTGCAATGTGGCCACCAGTCTAGGTGACTGGACACCGCGGGCACTATTGTAAGATTAGATGGTGGTTGGAGGTCGATAGCATTCGATCTGCACTGATAATAAGGACTAGACACGCATGACATTGGTCACCCAGTGATCAATCAATTGTGATTACATGTCAGTCCTACAGGAGGTCGGATAGCTCAGTGGTAACGTCTCTGACTGTGAAGCTGGGTGACTCGGGATCTAATCCGCCAGGGAGCACCAGTTCCTTCAAAGATTACAGGTACACCTTGCTGACGAGTGCCAATTAGCACGAAACCCGGGTCCAGGGTTTCCTGTCGACTACCTCCAACCACCATCTAATGACGTATTCCATTCAATTAATTATCGACCAACGGTCTGTAGTGTCACAATTTGGT